CTATATGCCCTATATCTCAGCTGAAATTATGAAAAAAAGGCTTGGGAGTTCATGGTTGCTAATGGTATTGACATATCAAAAGTCTCCAGCTCATCACAACTACATTGTATTTCCCAGTGGTAAAATGAAAAAAGATCTTGAATCTATGTATAACGGTGTGTTGCATATGTCCTTGTTTACTTTTGTTTAGTATACAATTTTTGTGTTTGTTCTTGGTCTTGGAAGTCCAGGTATCGGTACATGAGTCTCTGTCTCGAAGTCTTGGTCGAAGTCTTGAAGGAGTGGGTCTCGGTCTTAACGTTTTTGGTCTCAGTCTTGTTCTCGGATATTAAGGTCTTGAATACAACACTGATTCTGCAATATGGAAGTTGAACGCATTGGATCTGTTTGATATCCTTGATGTTCGTACATTATAAATCTACACGGATTCCAACATTTCCAGTGAATGGACTATCAGTAATAATACAGTAAGGAAACTTTTAGTATTGAAGTTGGTGAAGTTATCGTGTTTGGAATCATGTAGGAATAGACTAATGGTTTCAAATATTATTTTACTCCAGCAACCACTGAGTAGACCCAAGGCTGTAAATTTCATGGAAATACCAATACATACCTAAATCACATGCGTGTACATGTACACGTACACTGGTACGTGTACATTAGTATTTTTGCTGTTGGATGGAGATAATAATGTTGTTGCGTATCTCTGAAATACTGTGTTTCATTCTATGTCGCACTTATGGCCTAAGAGCTTTCTTCATCACTGTAGCATCGTTCTGTATAAAGCCGTATCTCACGCATTGTCTTGCTGCATGATTGCCGGAGCTGTGCATCGCATTTGACCCTTGCGGCCATACATGACTGCGAGTTGCCGCTGTGCTCTTGCCCCTTCCTGCTTCTGTCATGCATGGCAGCCAGCCTGCTTGCGCGTGACCTGCACCAACGTTGCATCATTTGGCATTACGTATGCAGTATTTGCACACACTCTGCCCAGGGACAGCGACAGGGTAGTCCTCATTCGTTATTCCTCTAACGAGCACATGTATCTTCATGATACGAGAAGCCCGAATTCTCTTTAAAAGGCAAGGGTTTCACTCTTGCCGTCTTGCTTCCTGGCCTGACCACTCGTTGTGCGACACTGACCACAAGTCGCTGTGTGCTCTGATACATGTTACGAGCAACAGCGGTATGCTGGTCTGGGACACGTAGCTGTGTGGCTGGCGGAGCCTTAGCGGTCCACTCCCGCTACGGTCAACCCATCTGACGGAACTTTACCCCGTGGTCAGTTGTTGAACTTCATGTGTGTGCCTTGCCTGGTAGTAAATACTTGTAATCTGATACTCTTAAATCTTAGTAGCAATGCTGTACGCTGCCATGAATCAACGGATGCCGTCCTTGCTTCTTATTGTGCGGTGCATAATTAAAAG